AGGAGGAGGAGGAGGAGGAGGAGGAAGTCCCTGAGGTCAGGATTGTTGAGAAGCCACCCAAGGCCCTGCTTGGTGCCCAGTCTCTCTCTCTCTCTCTTTCTCTCTCTCTGTGCATAGCCTGCCTCCCTCTTCCACCCCCCCCCCCATTCTCCAGCTTGGCCTCAGTGGAAGGAAGGCCTCCCACTCACCCTCCTCCTTCCCCTTCCAGCTTGGCCTCCCTCCCCTTCCACTCACCGGCCTCCTTCCCCTTCCAGCTTGGCCTCCTTCCTCTTGCCTTGCACGGGGAGCAGCAGCAGCAGCAGCAACTCGGGGGGGGGCGAGAATAAAGGCTGGACCCACCGCTGCGGCGGAGTGGGTGGGGGCGAAGAATGCCTAGCTGCTTTTTTTCGGGAGGAAGTGGGGTGGTAGGGGACAGGAAGTCGGTGTTGCAACGCTCACCCTCTGCGGCCACTCTAGGACTTGGAACTCTCTCTCTCTTCCCCCTCCCACTTCACTCCACTTCAGTCCTCCAAGAGCCATAGGGAGCCTTTTCTCCTGGGGGGGGGAACAGCTCCAGGACACTTTTTTTTTTATTATACTCGCATTTATATTTTACAGTCAGCTTGTATATTTTCTTCTTGTAAATATACCTTTTTTTTTAGCTTGGAGGAAACCTGTCTTCCGCTTCCTGAAGGCACTCCAAACTCCTGGCAAGACTGGTCAGGCCTAACCAATCGATGGCATGAGCACATGGATGAGGCTGGGCTGGCCTCTAGTTGCGGTGGGGAGATTATTTAAAACCGCATCAGCGAATTTCTGGATTCAGTTAAGAGTTGTTAGAATCCAGAACTTACTTTATTTAAGATTTATACCCCGCCTGTTTAGTGAACATGCCACTACTCTGGGCAGCTTACAAAATATCATTAAAACCATATAAAAAGAAAGCAAACTTCCTAATTTGGGCAGCTTACAAAATATTATTAAAACCATATAAAAAGAAAGCAAACTTCTTAATTTGGGCAGTTTACAAAATATTATTAAAACCATATAAAAAGAAAGGAAACTTCCTAATTTGAAAGACATGCGTTTTTCTTAAATATAAAAAGAAAGCAAACTTCTTAATTTGAAAGACATGCGTTTTTCTTAAACCAAGTTTTATTCGTGGGTTTTATTTCTTTAATTTCAATTTATAAATGGCATTTTTTTAAATTAAAAGGAGCTTGATCATAGCAGAAGAAAGTCGGGGAAGCCTAAAAGGAGAGCCACGAGAGACCACTGATGCCTGGTTCCCCTTTTCTCTTGCTTCAATTTCTCTTCCCTCCTGCTTATCTCTGGGATCACTCTTTTGCCTCTCACCTGCAGGAGTAAAAAAAGGAAACATCATGCAGAATAAAAGCATGCGAAAATCAGAGAACATACCCAATTATTTGGGTCCAAGCCTCTCCCTTGATGAGCCGGCCCGGGCATTAAGATCATCGGAGGAGGCCCTTCTCTCAGTCCCACGAACCTCACACAAGAGAGGGCCTTTTCTGTGGCGGGTCCCAGACTCTGGAACTCCCTCCCACTGGAGACCAGCCTGGCCCCATCTTTGCTGTCCTTCCAAAAGCAGGCAAAGATCTTTCTCTTCAGGATTAGCAACTGATGGTTTGAAAGGGTTTTTTCCCCTTTTAAATTGATTGTTGTGTTCTGCTGTTTTAGTATTGATTTTATTTACCAGTTTTCAATCTAATACTTGTTTAATTCTTTTTAAATCTTTGTACGCTTACTGTTTTTTTAAGCTTTTTAAATACTGTCTTTTTAATTTTATAAATTAAAGGAGAAAGCTGGGGTAAAGCTATTTAAAATAAATAGATGATAAATAAAATAAAATAAATTATTTGGAAAAGGAAGAAGTTGTTGAGAAGAGCAGCCATGCATGGGTCTCCTCTGAGGTAGGAATGGATCTCTTTTCCCCTCTGCTCTGTGAATGGGAGAAAAGAGTCAAATAACTGGCATCATCGCCACCTCTTTAAATGTTATTATTTATTTAATTAATTCCATGTGATTGCTCTGTTGGACTTTGGGAGTCTATCATCCCTTCATCTCTTCATCATGAATTATTGAAAATTTTGATTGCCCAAATACCTGACATAGCATAGGGATTCAGTGGGCGAGGAATTTTGGGGACTATTGTCCAAAACGCCGTGGCTTCTAGTGGGAGGGAGTTCCAAGGTCTGGGGGCAGCCACAGAAGAGGTCCTCTCCCGTGTCCCCACCAAGCACACCTGTGGAGCTGGTGGGACTGACAGAAAAGCCTCCTCTAATGTTCATAAAACCTGGGCATGCACATAAACGCTCCCAAATTATCAAGAATTGAACTCTTCTTATCAGGCGCCAATTAGGGGATAGATGCTAGAAAATTATGCTAAGTAAGGTAGTCAATATGTATTTGATCAACCTCTGGACATCTAATGTGGCAGAATATTTTTATGTTTGTTCATATTTATGCCAAGTTGTGTGTTTTCTCACTGGAACAGCTAGAAGTTTTTTTAAAATAAAGTATAAGCAACCTCTCTCTGTGTGTTTTTTTAATGAAAATGTGCATTGAGAGTATTTCTCGGTGGAAAAAACAACTTGTTTGTTAAGAATATCGATTGACAGGAGCAGAACACCCAGTGACAAACCCCGAACCTTCTTACACTGATCTATGTATTTTGGGGGCAATGTATTCCCGAAGGCTTTCACTGCCAGGATCTGATGACTGTTGTGGGTTTCTTGGGCTGTTTGGCCATGTTCTTAAAGTTTTTCTTCCTAATGTTTTGCCAGTCTCTGTGGCCGGCATCTTCAGAGGACAGGAGTTACAACTCTATTTGTGCTCTGGTGCAGTTTGTGGGATAGTTGAGTATTTATAGCTGTGGGATCAGCTTTTTGTCCTTTTCAGGAGATTACATCCATGCAGCATCCACACCAGAATCAAAGAACATGAGAGACACTGCAGACTAAAACAGCCGGAAAAAATTGGCAGTAGCTGAGAATGCTCTGAAACAAGCTGGACATGAATTTCTGTTTCAAAATACAGAAGTACTGGACAACACCAGCAATCATTATGTCAGACTGCACAGGGAAGCCATTGAAATCCAGAACACCAGCAGAGCTTCAACAAAAAAGAAGAAAGTCTAAAATTCAATAAAATAAAGCCTGGCTCCCAGCACTGAAAAATACAGCCTGCAAAAGATCAACAAACTCTACCCAGCCACAAGGACCGGCGATCAGAGCACACAAAAGACCAGCTAGCAACCCCCATCAATCACAGTGACAGATCATCTCTCCTCCTTATCACAACATTATAACCACAACAAAAACAAGCTGATCACCATAATCACCCAATCTCCTGAAAACATCAAAAGCTGATCCCACAGCTATAAATACTCAACTATCCCACAAACTGCACCAGAGCACAGAGTTCTGACTTCTGTCCTCTGAAGATGCCGGCCACAGAGACTGGCGAAACATTAGGAAGAACAACCTTAAGCACATGGCCAAACAGCCCAAAAAAACCACAACAACCGTATTTTCGGACTCCTTCTCGGTCTTTATAAGAAGAGCCCCAAGTCTCGGTTTTGGCATCCTTTGTTTTCTCAATAAAGTATGGTACCACACAGCCAGTTTGTCTGTGTCCGATCCTCTGCCGGAGAGTAGCTCATATGTCCTAAAAGCCTCAAAATCAAGGCTATCAGTCTTTCTGGCCGTCCACTGGGACCCCGGCCAAAGACGAACCTCGTCACAACCACATTCCCAAGGAATCATTCCACCCTCCCCATCAGTTTTCTTTACTGTCTAGCTTTGGTAGTAAGTTACTCTAAACATTGTGCTTTCAAAAATATTTTTGATTTATTTTAAGAAAGAGACCACTAAAAGAATCATTATCATGCAAGATACAAGCTTTTATGGATTAAAAAAAAACCCTTAATCAGTGTGAAGAGCCATAAATCCAAAAATTTATGGCACAGTGGATTTTGCCAGGAAAGTTACTCTTTAGATGTAAACTCCAAAAATATTGCCTATTTTTGCATTTTATTTAATTTTCTTTAATCCCAGTGATGAGGGAAGTCAGTTGTCCTCCTCTGCCAAAATAACCATGGATGCCTTTTGCTAAGTACCTTATTTCTTGGAAAGATATGTTTTGTGGGAGTTCTCGCAACTACGAATAAAATAATGACATCATTTTGAGAGCTCAGAACAGGTTCAAGCCAATTAAAATCACATTAAATATTTTAAGTACAATTTTATTTATTTATTTTTATTTATTTATTGTATTTCTACCCCGCCTATCTAGTCATTTCGACCACTCTAGGCGGCTTACAACAAATGATAACAAGTTCTAAAAAATTTATAACAATTGAAGAGCAGCTGAGAGTGTGGAAATCGGGAACGTTACTTTTTCGGGACTTCAGTGCATTAAGATTTCTTTACGCTTTGCAGAGAACTATGGAGTTTCCAGATCTAAATTCTGGGAAAAGCTTAAAAGAAATCTTAAATTTTAAGAAATTAAGCTTTTTTAAAAAGTTACTTTAAAGTGATTTATTTGAGTTATTTAAATATTGTATCTTAGTTACTTTTTTGGCTGGGGGGAAATTCTTCCCCCCCCCGCCCTCTCCAAAAAAGTAACATTTCCGAGTTCTACCAAGTTCACCAAAACAGTCACCATAGTAACCCGCGGGATTGCAAGGACTGAAACGAGGGCACATGGAGTCCTAGAGAGGCCGCAGAGGCCTCCCTGCAGCGCCCACTTCCTGTCCCGCCCCTTGAGGGAAAGGAGCCAATCAACTTCCTACTCTGCAAGTAACAGAAGCAAGCCTTTCTCTTGCAGGTTGAGTATCTGGGATTTGGGGTGGGAGGACGGGTGTTGGGGTGCAGGATCAGACCCCAGGAACCAGGAAGGGGAAGGTAAGCCAGTTCAGTCCCCAAAGGGGAGTGGGTTGCGCGGCTGATTGCCACCCGGGGTCCTTCCATATCTGCTGCCTCCTTTCAAGGAGTTTGGGGGAAAACCCTGCAAAAGAAGTGGGGTTCGTGTTTGGGATTTCCCCTGGTGCTCCTGTCATCAGTGTCCCGGAGTCTTCAGATCAGCTGACGAGTCTAAGATCAGGTCCTTTTGCTGGGAAAGGTAGACCAGCAAAGGGTGCCTCACATCTCTAAGTCAACAGAGTAAGGGGGGCACTGTTTTCTGTTGGCTCCAGTCTTTCCTGGAGGAGAGAACACAGTTAAGGGGGTGCTGGGAGGCTCCTGTTCAACACCCTGGCTGCTGGCCTGTGGGGTCCCCCCAGGCGTCCAATTTGTTTCCTATGTTATTTAGCATCTTCATGAAACCACTGGGAAGCTGTTTCGGCTCTAGATCAGGGTCTGGTATCAGTCATGGACTGGATGAGGGTGAATAAACTGACAATCCAGAGGTGCTCCACTATAATCTAATTATAGTGGGGCTCGCCAGCCTTGGAAGGCAGCCCATCTAGGAGAAGGAAAACTCCGATTTCAAACCTCCACTGCCTTGTGGCTATATCCACTGATGGAAAAGGCTTCAGGAGTTAACCTCAAGACAAAATCTGGAGCCAGAGTCGCAGAGGCAGTTTGTGTCATTCTGTCAACTCCTGCGACATCGCTGGAACCAGTTGTATTGGCTCTTGCCTTTCCACTGGACTATTTCAGCGACGTGGAGAGGGGGGATCTGCTGCTTGGGTAACAGCCTATCCTCCATATTATTTTACCCAGGCTTCGTGCCCTGGAAAGGACACTCCAGCTTCGCGTACAGCGTGAAAGTCCTCCAGAAAAAAAACGTGTTTGAGGTGGGGAAAGCATGAAGTTTGAACTTTCAGTTAACCGTTGGCCAGTGAAGAGGTGTTTATCTACTTCCTCGCTCTTCCCATCGTTTTGAGAGTGGATTTGGAGACAGTCTTCAGACTGCCTGGTACTGCCTGGTACTGCTGGTATTGCCTGGTACAGTGCGGTACGGACTGTATTTTTATTTTTTGGCACTTTTTTAATTTTTGATTTTTGGATTTTTAAAAGGTGTTC